GGGTTGGGTTTTTTTAAGGTTATGTTCGGTTTGCTCAGATTCGAGTTTAAGGTAAAAAAATACCCGAACTGACCCGAACCCAAAAATATAATTTTACCTTATATTTTTAAGGATAATTACAATAATATCTCTTTATATATTATTTTCTTTCAATTAAATCTCTATTTTTATTGAATAAAAATAATATTTTTAATAAATATATTATTTTGGGTCAGGTTGGGTCGGGTTCGAATTAGGTGAAAGGTGTATATTTTTCGAGTCGGGTGGAAGATTTATAATTTTCGGGTCAGGTCAAGTGAAACAAAAATCTGACCTAACCTGACCCATGCAAGTACAAGTATATAATATTGTATAAAATCATAAAATATAAAATTTGAAATTTGTGTTAAATTAAATTTAATATTCAAATAACCGACCTAAAAATTTGGATATCCAAAAAATCAGATATCCAATTTTTTGGATCTGATTTGGATCGTAATTTTAGAGATTCGAATTTTCAGATATCTGAATTTTTTTATCAGATAATATCTGATATAAAAAAATGTACACTCCTAAAAACTGCAGTTCAAATTTAGCAATAGACAAGTCTTTTCCATTACCAATAACAAGCTTACCAGCACCCGACTATTCGACACCATGGGTAACGTCTCTTGGATCAGTTGTGATATGATGGGCGGCACCCAAGTCAACAAACCACTTATTTGTATCACCAACTACTCCAGCTGAGTTCGATTTGACAAAAGCTTACCCATTCAGTCCAATACTGCTAGCTTGTCCTTGGCCATGATGAGCGCATCCGCACTCACTCGATACAAAGTTAACATTGTAGTCGCTTCGAATAGTCGATGAATCAGTATGTCCCTGTTGAAGTTTGTCGTCGATAACAACCCGAGAAAATGGTTTGTCAAAGTGATATCAGCAACGATTGGCCAGATGTCCATTTTTTCCACACAACTGGCATTGGAATCGAGTACGACTTCCGTCATGGCCACCGTGATATGATTGAGCTTGTCCTCCTCGTGAGCTAGAAGTCTTGACAACATCATCATGATCCATAGCACTGGTAACAGAAGCTTAAGAAACATTAGCATTAATGCTCAATCCATCGAACTGGTCAAAACTCTTCAGGTGAAGTTCAACATCAAGAAGAATCGAGATAACACCATCTAGAGTGATCGGTTCTCGACTGACCATAATAACGACAACAAAAGAACGATACTCAGCAGAAACCCACTTAAAATCGTAACAACCTTCTCGTGATAACTTCCACAGCTGGCCAACGCATCACAGATTTCCTTGACATGCGAGACGTATGCACGCATGCTCAGTTCCCCTTATTTAACCGCTTTCAAACGGTAGTGAAAGTTCATCATTGTGGTGATAGATTTACTGGCAAAAACCTTATTGATTGCTCTCAGTCGCAGACTCCACCCCAACCAGTTGAGGAGCAGCGATGGGCTCACCGTGAATAGAAGCCACAATGCAAGAGTGTTGTCCTGCGCAATAAATACATACTTCATAATCTTCGTTCTCCACTACAATGCCGTCATCAAGGACCACCATTTCAAGCGACGATTGAACGGAACCAAGTAACAACTTCTCCAGGCGATGACTGCGAACATCAAGAAGAACCTGCTTATTCCATAACAAGAAGTTCAGCTAATCAAGCACGATATTGATTTTCTTGTTTGTGAAAGCCTTGGAGCAAACCATTGTATCGCCAGATGAATCCGCTGTATCCTTAGAACCAGCACCATGAACCATGGTGAGCAAGAAAAGAAAGTCACAAACGGAAGCGTCGAAAAACATCAGAACCAATGGCGAAATATACATGTTGAATATTAAACGAGAGAAAGCCTTTCAATGAGACTTTAATTTATATCACTTTCTTTTTTCACAGAGACCCCTTCTCATTATAGAGTGGATAGATCATTATTTATGTATGACAAATGGAATAACAAACCTTAACAAATTCTAATAAAAATCCAGCCAGTTCAGCATACAGCTCACGCAATCATTGCTTGTTGTTGACTCATAGAAGGACATGCCTGTAATGCTGATAAAAAAATTGGTATCCTCTCTTCTGATCTTTTCTTTTTGAGATTTTTATTCCCTCACCATTTTGCTGCCAATGTAGATGGCTCATATGTGGAACCAAATGCAGCTGGTCAATATGGCAGTGCCACGGAAACAACGAGAACGATGCTTTTAGAAATACTGTGGGACAAAATACATATGAAGATGGTTATGGTATTCACCAGGTGTGCAATCTAAAACGGTGGCATAAATTTGTCTGTGCTGAAATATGAATGAGTTGTATGTTTGCAATAATAGTCTAGTACAAATTATATAATACCAAAGTTAATATTTTTATGGTAAAGTTAATACTACTTTTTATATAAACTTGGGGAACAGTAACTGCACAAACAGCAGTCTAGTTCTTCCCACTCTCTGCCTCCGTGGTTGCTAATTTCGATACATCAGTGATTCAATGTGTTGAGGATTGCAGTTCTTCTACTAATTCTATCTTCTAGATAAATGACATTCTTCTCATCTTCATTATAAAGACATGGTGCTCTACCACCCGCTGTTATTGGTGCAAATGTAGGAGCCAGTTTTGCTTATGTTGGAAGTCATTCTGAGCCTGGACATGCACCTATGAGGTTCGGCTACGAGATGTCTGAAAGAACTGCCTATGATTTGTCAAGAGCGACTGGTAATAGATCACAAAGGGTGCCAGCTTATGACGCACAGATAGCTACGACGGTCAAAGAACCCATGTCTATGATGCACAAAGAGGAGTTGGCTATGACACTCAAACAGGATCCGTAAACGATCCGTCCATGGGTGTAAATGCAGAAACTAGAACACGAACAGGCAACATCCCGAATAACGGACCTTATGCTGGAAACGCATATCAGCCACCCGCTCGTGGTGGACATCCTATTAGGAGGTGAGAATTATATCATTCTACATTTTCACAGGAATAGTACATGGCAGGAGTCTGATAGCAATTTCTTACTTGTGGAGCCATTATTATATTTAGGGTAAACTATATCAATGGTCACTTAACTATTTAGTTCTTTTACTTTAACCATCTATCTTTCATTTTTTTCAATCAAACCACTTAACTGTTTAAATGAGGTCAATCAAATCACATGCCGTTAACTTTAGCAAAAGTGCTCATTTATCAGTTAATAAAATTGATATAATTACATATTTAGTTCTCAATAGTTACATATTCTACTAATTTAATTCAATAAATTAATTATTCAATCTTAAATGTGTTTTTGTCGTCCCTAATCCTTAACAGAGTACTGTAAGACAATGAACTAGTTTCAAGCGGCTTTTGCACAGCGGTTTCCATTTTTCATAAATAAAATTCGTTCGATTCAAAATGCAAAATTGTTACTTTTGGCTTTCCAACATACGGATATTGAGCTAAATACATATATTCTATACCAATTAGTAGTATTGAAATTATGAAGTTAGTTTCACAACTTATTTTTCTTGTGAGAACATCATAATTGATCTTTTGATATTAATTATTAAAGCATATACCGAGTATGTATTAATGGAAGACTAACATTCCACAGAGTAACAAAAAAACCAGAAAATAAATCATGGCCAATGAAGGACAAAGCCTCCTCCATCCACTGTCAAGGGATCATCCGTGAGACTAAGATAGACATGAGCAGGTATTTCAACAAGGCGAAGGGCCTCTATCATCCTGGGGAAACTATGGACAACATGGAGCGTTGTTTTCTTAGCAGATGAACACATCGGACATCGGACAGACCAACAGCTTTGAGATGACTCCCTACATGTAAATCATTCCGAGCTACCAGCCAAGCAAAGATTCGGATCTTCGGTAGTAACTGAATCTTGGCAATGATTGACCACACCTTGGACTTGCGTTCACTATCATGGACTGCAACCACCAATATTCACAATTCTTGTAAAAATAAACATTGTGCGTCTTTAAAAGTACTAAACTTTTTTGGGCATTGTGGTGCTCTAACCTTTCCCACATATAACCAATTCTCGAATATTATTTTATCTGTTTTAAAATGCATACCAAATTTAAAGTTATTTGGTTGTACTTAGCCCAAAACGACCGGTGGCAACTCTCATTTTCAAAACAAATATTTTTGCCATGACTATTTTTCAGATCACCCAAAAAATGGTTTCAACAATAGAAATGATCCCTTGATTATAGGGTGCTACTTTGTTGAGTTTTTCGACTATTAAAAGTTACAAAATAATTCTCTGACTATTCTTATGTTTCAATTTCATCTTTTTTAGTTGAAAATTGTTCAAAGATATATGATAAAATCATATTTTTAGTGATGTCTACTGTCATTGTCATTGCATTCAAGCATTGGTTCGATGATATAATGTTTTATGAACTATTTCAACGGCATAATGCAATCGAATAGTCGATTCACAAAATACAACTCAAACGATTATGAGTTCATATTTTATTGTATCCTAGTCAACAAGTTAACGTCCAATTCAGATAATTGTTAATTGTTTAACGGAAAATGATGAGTTTGAAACATATGAATAACCAGACGATCATTTTGTAACTTTTAATAGTCGAGGGACTAAACAAAATAGCATCCTATAATTAAGAGATTTTTTGTAACTTTTAATAGTCGAGAAACTGAACAAAATAACGTCCTTTAGTTAAGAGATTATTTCGTAACTTTTAATAGTCGAGAGACTCAACAAAACAACGTCATTTAGTTAAGAGAAAATTTTTGTAACTTTTAATAGTCTAAGGACTTAAAAAATAGCTCTCTATAGTTGGGGACCATTTATACACTTTACCCAAAAATATTGGAAATTTACCCCTAAAAGATTGAAAAGTCGTTTTGGGTCGATGGACAAAGAGTGAGACTTCGAAGTGGACCCAGAAGAGAAAGTTAAAGCAAAAAACTGCCCTATTATACCTTTTTCGTTTGCTACTTTGTCAAGTGAACCAGAACGAAGTTTCTTTTTATTTTCGCAAAAGAGAGCTAAAGAAAAATAATAAAAAAAGAGATGGGAGAAGAGAGAGCAGATCCGCAGAAACTCAAGAGAATTGCTGCGGCGGCTTACGATTACGAGAACGATCCCAGATGGGCTGATTATTGGACCAATATCTTGATTCCTCCTCACATGGCTTCTCGCTCTGATGTTGTTGATCACTTCAAGCGCAAGTTTTACCAGCGCTATATCGTATGTTTCCTTCTCTTTTCCCTTTACATAATTTTCCCAATTTGAGATTGTACATCTGGGTTTTTGTTTCTGCTAGGAGCTTGTAATCTGGGTTTCTATCTCATGGGATTCTGAGCTTATTAAGATGGAAAATTGCAATCTTATGTCGCTTTTTTGTTTTTTTTAGTATGATATTCACGAATCTTGGAATTGACAATTGGGATTTCCTATTAGGGTTTTTAATAAATATCTTATTTATTAGCTTCCATTTCCTATTAGGGTGTTTTTTCTTTCTCAGATATGATGGTTTTTAGGGCTATTAGATCCTACAAGATAGCAACACAAAAGCCAATGACGAATTGTTTGTCTTCTAACCAAATCTTTAGTTTTCAAGACTTGATCAAATGCAATATGCAAAATATTTTTTTACAAATATCCTTTCAAACGTCTGTTCATAACTGCTGATTTGTTCTTCTATTCAGCAGTTGAAAGGAATCCGAGTTTCTTACCTACCTTGGAATATTTACTTCTACCATTCAACTGAAACCATCTACTCTCCAACCTCTTTCCATATATAATTTTCCGGTACACAACAAGAAGTAGGATTATGGTTCCCTCTGCGAACGTGCTCTTGTTTACTGACCCATTTTCAAATGCCAGCTTGATTGTTTCCTACCTTACTGACAGGAATTGCTCCTTACTAATTAGTTATTCTAACCTTTATTTGGAATCAACCCATCATAGCTGACAATATCCCATGCTTCTTGCTTCTTGCTTCTTGCTAGTTAGTTATTCTAACTTTTATAGTAGTTGAGAGTTGGCTTCATCAGACCAGGCTAACTTTTTCTTTTTCTTTCATAATTCGGTATCCATTTGGTTTCTCATAGTTTTAAGTCCTCTCCATCCATCACTTGCCAAATTAGATTAATCTGTCCCTTCAGTAATGTTACTTGATACCAGGCTGCCTTTTCCCTGTTTGTTGCAACCACTGGAGATTCTTGAGGAAAATAATTTTATTTCAACATTTGAAATTTTGAACCCAAGAAGCATTTGGATCTTGTGACACCCTTCAGTATTGATTACCTCTATGGTCTTGTTTCAAATAGCCGTGGATGCTTTTTCTCTCTTAATTTACTCCTTTCCAGCCCCACCAGGATTTGGCCATTTCTTCAAAGTTTTTCTCTGGTAACTTGAAGTTGAATCAAGCCATATATAGTTAGAGCTGGCACAGGCCATTCATTTGATGAAGTCTCGACACCTTCCTTTCTCCTTGAGATAGAGTTTGCTAATACAAGCTTTGCCTCAGAGTAAGTCATTGCTTACAATGTCTCTTGCCTCTACATGATGATATATCCAAGTTCTAATGATGCCTGACAATAGTATTGAATAAATTGAGGATATAAATTGTTAATGTTAATGATAATAAAGAGTCCTTCAAAGTAAAAAAAAAGGAATGAGAATGAGTAGGTCATATCTTTATTCCACTAAGGCAACTCAATTGTGTTTTATTTTTATTAACTTTTATTCCTTTAGTTCTATCTTATGTGTTCTAGCTTCTAACATATGGCAATCTACCTTTTTTCTCATTTCCACTTTTATAATTGTGGTCTCACTGCCACTAATTCATGGCATTGGAATCAGGCTTTCATCTGGGTTTGGTGTAGTTTTAATTCTGTTTCAATCCCTTTTTTGGCACTGTAGTATTCTTGTATATGTTTAATTTGCATTTTATGCTTTCCATCCATTTAAGTTGATGCAATTTTTGCTTAGATGAGTTGGTTATTTATTCTGTTCAAGGAGTTATATATATATATTGGGATTATGTTCAAGAAGTTATATAAGCTGAGGCTGATTTTGTTTCATTTTTTGCTACTTCATATATGCTGTTTATCCTAAATTCCTATAGTGTTGCTAAAAATTAAAGTAAATAGTAGAAAGCAAGATCGTTAATCTATTAAGAATGAAAGCTCAAGTGTAACATTACTCCATGTTCTTGATTATTATTATTTTTTTGATAATACCATGTTCTTGATTATTGAATGTTAGAATGGTCTACATACTTTTTTTTTCTTGGTTTGAATACAAAATTGTATCAATATCTATATCACATGAGTCATTAACATGTCAAAATTAGGTATTAATTAAATATGATAATGATACAAAAAATGATACATTGATACACTAAATACTGTTACTATGTATCATAGGAATTTGTGTCCTATTTCTCTTGGATGGTATTTGTCTTATATATATTAATGTTTATGCAATTTCTTGCAATTATTCTACTTTTCTATATGAATGTATCTCACATTTTAATACATTTCTATTTCAATAAATTTCCAATATTATTCCATAACCCACTTATATCTAATGAATTATGGTCTTTTATGGAAAGGATCCTGATCTTGTGGTAGAGGCTATGTCGTCAAGTGCACCATCGGGATCAGCAAAACCAACTTCAACCTCATCAGCAGCAGCAAATGGTGAAGCTCGAGCACACAATGCAGGTAAAAAATTGTTGTTTCTGAAACGGAGGTTATAGAAAGAAACTAAACTTGTAATAAATAACATAAAAATTGGAGAATTTGTGTATTTGATCTTACTCATTAAGGTGCCATTTACTTCTTTGAACTCGATTCTAAATTCATGATCTAGGCTCAACCGCTAGAACTTCCGGGGCATCAGCAGGTTCAGGTTCAAACACGGTTTCTCTGCGCTGGGATCTAAACACAATACAATTTTCTGTCGATGCTTGGGTATACTACCCCACCCCACTATCCCTTTCTTTCATCCACATGAACATGATTGCATATTAGCTGATGGTCTTTCCTTCTTTTCTCTCTTTTTGTTTTTAAATTAAGAGTGCATTTTATTTCCTTATTTATCTTGCATCTACATGGAGAAACCACTGTGTTGAGGAGCTGATTGACTGTTAGTGTCTAATTAAAATTATAAGATGTAATATTAAACCAATTGCTAGGTCTAGTAACTTGGGCATCATTGGCTTCCTGTCCATATTTTTGTTAGATCTTTTTCTTTACATCTTTCTTCTTGCAGATTTTTATTGTGGCTGTGCTAGCCATCTTTCCACTTGTCCCTAAAAGTCTTTCAAATAGGGCTTATCGGCTTTCATTTATGGGCACTGCTTGTTCCTCTTTATACTCTTTGTATGCACTATATGGGGTAAACTTATTTCCACCGACTTGTTATCCATTTGATCAATATACAATGGTTCTTCCATTGAATCTCTTCTGTATTTTATGCAGAAACCAAGGGCATGGAATTTGCAGGCAGTTCAAGTATATTTTCAATCAATAATTGCAACCAAAGATTTTATCTACTTTATCTACTGCCTTACATTTGTCACTTCACATCTTTGCCTTAAATGTAAGCATTCTTCTGCCCGTGAACACCTTTTACCTTTTTACTCCTGATGAATTGATGTGGACCATCACTGCAGTTGCTTTGATTCCCAATTTATGCCGAGCACTTGAACACATTGCGAAGTTCTTAAGGCGTAATTTCAATCGTTCTACCTTGTACAGGTAGACACCTTTACTCAGATATATGAACCATCTTCTGTGCTAAATTGCTGGTTTAGTCCCTTTTATTAATCATGTGATCAGACTGATAATGTTCACTACAAGAAGTTTAGTATGCTGGATGATATTAGTTATATGAAAAGGCTTAAATTCTAGATAGACAGAAATTGTGTTATATGAAAAGCTTAAATTTCAACAACAACAACAACAACAAAACCTTATTCCCATATGTAATGGGGTAAGAGGGAGGTAGGGTAGTAGGCTGCCCCCAACGCCAGGTAGAGAGCAGCTTCCTTGGAAGACCTCCGGCAGTCAGAAAGCTTAAATTTCAGATAGTCGAATTGTGTTATTATATGAAAAGGCACAGAAAGGAGGATTTTAAACTCGATTTTTACTGAAAACTATTGGTGCTAAAGTTAGTAAAACTTGACTCAAAAAGATTGATTTTTTTCTCTTTTGAATTTTGAGTTATTCGAGTCAACTCACATCTTTGAAAAACCGAAAATTAAAAGGATGTCGTTTTGGTCTTTAACTAAATAATTCAATTGTTTTGATGTTTGGTTCCTAATTTCCTTATTTCTTCGATACCTCCTTCGTTTTACGTCTATTGTTTACCAAATTTGAGTCACATGCTCTATCACTCTATAATACCTATGTAACTTTAATTCCTCTTTTTGGCAATAAATTTTCTAATTTTGCAATTTAATCCCTCAACTTTTCATTTTATTCAATTTCATCCTCTGATTGCAAGTTGCAACTCTTTGCAAATTCTTTATTCCACTAATTCTTTGACTCCTTTATACCCTCATCAATAATTTGCCCTCAAAACCCCTTTTAAAAATAACATTAAATAATATTACAAATCTTACTTACACATGAGAAAAAGAATATAAAGAAATATATATATGTATATAAACTCGACTAAAAAAAAAAGTAATGTTCGCATAATAAAATGATATTTGTAAACTCGACTAGCTCGAATATTTTACTCGACTGAATACTCATGCTTAGTGCCAAAAGAAAATGAACTCACTAGGTTAAATGAAATTGTAATCATGTCTATCTCTTAGGGTATATTTCTCTGTTCCTTACAAATACTAACTCCTTTGTTTGAACAGGAAGTATTTGGAAGATCCTTGTGTGTGGGTAGAATCAAACACCACCACCCTGAGCATACTATCGTCATATGCTGAGATTGGACTTGGCTTCCTTCTAATTGTTTCCTTGCTCTCGTCAGTTTTAATATCTTTCTCTAGTTTTGGTTCATATTCACTCCAAGCCAATACATTCCACCTTCTCTAGCTTTTCTAATTTTCTGAAATTTTCTATTGAATTTTGTAGGTGGCAACGCAATATTATACAACCTTTCATTTACTGGCAGGTATGTATCTCATCTTTATTCTGTAACTCTATTCCTTACTTCTCATGTAATACCTTTTTGTTTCTTAGCAATTGTTTGAATGTTCGGTTGGTTCAGTACCTAGTTTATTTATTTGTATGAGGTTGGTTCAGTACCTAGTTTATTTATTTGTATGAGAACAAGTATTTGAACATATGACTTGCCATTAAGATTGGTATTTGATATTCCTTCTTGGATTGATTGGTCTTTCCCTTCCTAGTCATGTTCCCATTCTTCTCTCTGGCTCTCTTCTATTTGCCATTATTGGTCATTGATGAATGGACAATTGATATGATTAAGAAATACTTGTGTATTCTAAAATCTTTCTTAACACTCGAATGCATTTAAGACCGTTTAGTTGTGCCACAAACACCTTATTTGCACTTCCAGAAAAGAGTATTGGTCTTGACAAATGAATGTCTAAATCCTTTGAGCTTTGCTTTTTTCCACTGTGTGACAGTTATTGAAGCTTATGTACCATGCACCTGTTACTGCTGGATACCACCAAAGTGTGTGGACGAAGATAGGAAGGACGGCTAATCCACTTATGCAGCGTTACGCCCCATTTTTGAACACTCCAGTTTCTGCAATTCAGAAATGGTGGTCCAGATAGAAAGCAATATACAGTGGAATGTTGGGTTCTTTTTGGGATAATTGGATGTTTTATTATGGATGTTGAAACATATATAACTGAAGATTAACAGAGCAGTATATGTGATTCCCTACAAACCTTGAATTTGAGCCTGACAATATTTAGCAGCTATAATAATGGCATAGATATGTTTTGGCTTTGCGTTATACCCTCGTCAGCATGTTTTTCTCTTGTAAAAGTTATCTTTGGTCAAAATACTCAAGTAGGGAGGTGGAAAAAAAATTAATTTCACGAGTAGATATTATTGAATTTTATTATCTTAAATAGGGTTTGATTTACAGTGAAACTGAGAAGGTGTTTGAATCATCCTACGTCTTCTTTTCTCCAAACAAATAAACACTACGCCTTCTTAACATTTTCACCAAACAAATACGCAAGAAGACATCGTATCTTCTCAACATCTTTTACCAAAGATGCCAAATATATAGGAAGACATCTTATCTTCTCAACATCAAAGACGCCGGAAGGTCCAAGCATTTCCCTCAAATATTACAGTATTTGTCTTATTTGAACAAATAAAATCTACACCACCTTAAGAAAAACGTTTAAAATAATAGAAAGTCTAGATACGTGATTCATCATTTATGTATATTTTACATGTTTTATCCTTATTTAGAGTTCCACAAAAATTATAATTCACAGCCACCTTTTAAAATCTGCATTATGTTTTAATTATTTTCAGAATGTATTTTGAAATAAAAAGAATAAAAGATAATAGATCAGTCTGTAATGACAAATGTAAGCATATTGTTTAATAACTATTTGAGTTTATGTATTTTTTTAATAATGTTTTGATTTTGTCAACTTATTTTGAGTAGCATAATCTTATCATATAATCGTAGCACAATCCAAGAATATTGTGAAGTTCATCTGCCAGCCAGCCACACGGTGTTGCTGATCTGGTACAATCCACTAGTCATTAATTGGCAAGTGGGCGCGGTGATGACAAATCACATGTGATTGCTTGCGCCGGTTCAAATTTGATACATCACCAATCTATCATGCAACTGGTGACCAACTTGTATAAACATGCAAACAACCCCACCATATCTTTTCGATAAGACACCTTTCCTTTTGCGTACACAATTAATGTAATTATTGATAGTTTCACGTATCATACCTCATCACCTTAACAATTTTTAAGGTAAATTATACGTTAAATATTTAAATTATCAGTTTTGATTTAATTTAGTACTTAAATTAGTTTTTTTAAATCATGCCTAACGTTTAATTTTTTATTTCGTTTTAGTACTATTTAAAAACTTAACGTTAAATTTTTAATTTTTTTTAAAGTTTGGGTACTAAAACAAAGCAAAATTGATAGTTTAAATATTATACGCGTTAAGTTTTTAACAATGAGATACTAAAATAAAACAAAAATTAAATGTCAAGTATATTTTAAAAAAAATTAGATACTAAAATGAACCAAAAGTAATAGTTTAAGTACTAAATATGTATTTTACCATTTTTATTATAATAAAATTAATATCTTTCAAATTTAAGTTTTACAAATAAAATTTTTAAAATTTACTTTAAATTTAAATTATTTATTTTTAACAACATATTTAATATCAAATATAATAACTAAATAATCTCTAATGTTTGCATATATAGTAATATTAATTCTATTTTTTAGTACTTTTATCTTAATATTTTAACTTTTAGTCAAATATCTCATGTTAAAAAGGAAATATTTATATATATATATATATATAATTATTGACGTAATATGTATTTAAAGTGATGATATCATATCACTTCTAATGTTAATATTTTTATAAAAATAAAATATTAGATATTAAAATATTTTAAAATAAGAGTTAAAAAGAATCATTTATCCTAACATTAAGTAATTTTATGGATTATATGAATTATATAAATAATAATCCTAATCTTTTTCCTAGCCTATAATTAGTGATGGTAAACGGGCGTGTCGGGTGTGGATGCTCCCTCTCCCATCTCCATACCCACCTAATATTTTCAAATCTACCATCCGTCCACTACCTGTGATGGGTAAATTTTTTCAAATCCACACCCGCCCACACGGATACATTTTCAAATCTATCTCCACACCTACTATCAAACTAGAGACGTATCTGGTTAGACCCGCCTGACAACATATATTTTATACAATATTAAGATTTATAAACTAGTCTCTAAAATTATACCTAAATTCATAATAGTCTAAAATTTAATGGGTATTTAGTGGGCGGGCGGATGCAGAGCGTGCAGATGCGGGGCGGTTAATGTCTCAAACTCATCACCCACCCACTATCTACTAAAGTTATACCCATTCCCGCCCCAATTAAAACATATACATTGCGGAATCTACGAAATTGTACCCGTTTATCATCTCATAGGGTGTTCGAATGTAGACCCCACTCAAGTATTTGATTGCTACGTGGCGTAACACACTCCAGAGTACCTGAACCAACGGCAAATCAACGAAAGAAAATTAAATAAAAGGACGCATTACGCACCCCCAAAATAACAAACAATTTAAAAAGTTAAACAAAACAAGCAAAATCATTTCGTCAATAAATCTGAGATCCTCTCTTCCCTCCTCTTTTTTATCGAGGGGCCGGCGCTGACATCATTGTCACCGCCGATGCATGACCCCCGTCGACGTTGCGAAACTGCAACTGCTACTCATCTTTGTTTGGATTTTAGGTCTGTGATTTTCAGGTTCCTCGGCTCCATCTTTGCATCCTCCGGCGTCCACCACCACCAACACTTCCGCGGGAAACCGGCAAGTATGGACAGGCAGAAGTCTTTAAGCCGGGACATCAGCCATGCGGCCGACGAGACTTATCTAGTCACGCGACTTACCTTCACTCTCCTCCGATATCTCGGGTATATAATTTACATCATTGTTATTAGACGTATTATCTGCGAATCTCAATTGCATTCTTCTTTGTTCCTTAAAGAACGACTTTATAGTTCAGTTTGTGAGGATCGTGTTAATTTTGTTATTTAGTTTTAATTTGAGAATATATGCTGTCTTTGGTTGCCTAGCAAGTTGAAGGAAAGAATAGAAGCAAAGTGAGTTACCATGATTTTTCTGAATGGTTGCTTAGGAGTTGTGAGAAAGTAGGTTGAGTTGCAACTAAGGATCTGCGAATCTATTAGTCTGGGCCAATTTTCACCCGCTATATGATTTAATGGAAACGTTGTTATCATTTTGAACCTTGTTCTGCCATATTTGAGCTTGGTTCTTCTCAAATTTGCTTGCTGTATGTGTTTTGTTGATAATCTTTTTGGTACTTTTAACCATGTTGCTTGGACTCTGGTATGAATTGGATATTAATATGTGCCTGACAAAAACATGTTTTGTTTTTATAACTTCTTACATTCATGTTAAGGGTCCTTAGAGGGTCAAAATAAACATCTGCGTTGAACACGGATATTAGACTTGGAAACTTCAAGAGAGAGGAAGAGTTGGAGCAAGGTAGATTTGTAGAGAGAGAATTAATGAACAACAAAATAGTTCACTTTTTATTCTTTTTCATATAGACTATGCATATATACATTAGATTTTCAGAGATAGAACCAGTGAACAACAAAAGTAATTCAACACACACATATGTACATATACGTTATTGCCCATAAACATATTTTGTATTGCTTTCAACTTTATTATTATATACGTTGTTTTAATCATACATTTGCATTCAGGGTAGGCTACCGGTGGTACACAATATTACTTGCCCTTGCTTGTTATGCTTTGCTTCTTATGCCTGGTTTTCTTCAAGGTATTTTCTATATTATTGATTGATTATTATTTTCTGCACGAACTTGCAAACTTGTTATTAAGAATCGTTTACTTCTCAATTTACATGAAAATAGTAAATTGAATATCATCTAAGAAGCAAAAAAAAGAGAGGTAAATATAAGAATCGATTTGTTATTCTTTGTTTTAGCTCTGGCGGCATGTCACCCGAAGATGCGCTTTCTCTCTCTCTCTCTCTCACACACACACATATGTATATATATAGGCTTGAAAGGAACTATGATAGTTTCAATGGATTGCGTGTGTGTATGACCCACACGATCTTTTATAGGAAGTTAATTGAATACTGTATATTGACCGAAATTTCTTTCAAAACGGGGTCATTTTAGAATATTCATTAACAATATGTGTCTAGAACTTTTTGAATGTTCAGTGACCAAGTGACCTCATTGGCCCATCTGTACTCTATTCCTACATGTATTGGTCCTCCCACTATCTGAATTCATGGGGTACAAGAAATCGTATGTGATGGGTTTTGGAATCAAGGTTGTGAAGATTGTGATCGAACATCTGTTTGCATGGGAATAAATGACAACTGCACTATGTTTGCCTTCATGCTTTGTCTGTTTGAGATATGGTTACATTTCTGAAGATTGTAATCATACAGCTCTTTGCATGGGAATAATTTATAGATCTTTGCTGTGTCGGTTGCTATGTCAGAAATAGTTATATTTGTAGGCTGCTTTCAAATATCTTCAGATTGATGGAAAATAATTACTTGACATTACTTGTCAATCTTCTGCAGTTGCATATTATTATTTTTTCTCAAGTCAAGTGCGACGGAGTATTGTTTATGGAGATCAACCGAGGAATAGGTATGTGAATATGTGACACAAGTTCTTACAAAGCTAGGCCCAGAACCATGTATTCTGTTGGTAGAATGTTGGACTCTTCATTCTGTGACCAGGGATCAAACCTGGCACATCAAATGACAAGTACTTATATTCTATGACTTGCTTGTCACTGGTTATAGATTAATGCTGCTCTTTTCTCTTTTGATAATGATGTGACAGAAGAAAAAATGGAGAGAGAGAGAGACGTGGAGAGAGAAAAATTGAGAGGAAAGTTTTCTCTCGAGAATGTATGGACGGCGTTCGTTGATAACCTTAGTAAAAGAGTGTCTCGACGAGAGTTAAGGGAGTTGTTTTCATCTCACGGACCGGTAGTTCGAGTGTTCATTCCTAGAGAAACAAGGAATCCGAAATACAAATTTTCCACATTTGCTGTTGTGCATTTTGGCAATGAGGAAAGTCTAAATAGAGCGATAGCCAAGCTGAATGGTTCGATGATTGATGGTTGGAGGATTTCTGTTGGTACTGCAAGATACAAGGATGCTCGGGTGAGGTCAGTAGGGAAGAACACTCCATTGGTGATGACTTCTAGGCCGAACACATAAGATTATTCAAGGTCCAAAGGGAAAGTTGTTATTAACAGGAGTGTAAGGGATGAAAGATCTTACAAGGATGCCTTACTGTCTGATAGATTGAAGAGTATTGCATCGGATCATAAGGAATTGTCAAATGATGGTTTCAACAGGAGGACAAGAATAAAAAATGTATTGAAAATGCATATTCCTTCTGAGAGTTCTAGTTAGGTGAAGAGATCATTAACGGGAATCATCAAACATACTTTTGAGTTCGAATTAGTCCAAAAGGCTTTACTCAATGAAGGTTTTGATGTCCAGATTGCCAAATGGGGTTACGTCTGGAATTCTTGTGTTGTCACTTTTAAGTCGACTGAAGAAATGATGGATGCATGGTTGATGAAAAAAGAAGAGTTGTTTTTCTGGTTCGATAGGTTGGTACCCTTATTGAATGATGATGGTGTCCCAATGGCTTTTTGCCTTGTTCATTTGTTTGGGGTTCCATTGTTATGTTGGCAAAATTCTTTTTTCGAACGGTTAGCAGGAAGGTGGGGAACGGTTGAAGATATTCATGAAGATACAGTTAACAGAGAAGACCTCTCGATGGTGAAGATCTTGATCAGGGTGGCGAGCCCTTATGACGTTCCTGAGGAGATAACACTTGGATCATATGGTAGGTCCTTCAAAGTTAAGATTAAGCTGGGTTCGGTGATAGAGAATTCTTCAGCTTTCTCTAGCAAGTCGTCGGTGGGAGGTTCCGACGAAAGACATTTTGGTGAGAAAATTTTTGGAGAGATAGATGGAAGCAGTCTGTCAGAAAGTATGGAAAGTGCTGAATATTCAGTAGAAAACAACAGACATAAGGTAGACACATGGTTTGACCAAGGAGCATACACGGGTTTGGTTGGAGTAGGTGAGGAAATTCAACTTCTAATGCTTAACAAAGTGGGGAAAAGCATTAATTGTGAGATGCCAGCGTGTCAGGATCTTGGGACAAACAATTTCGGTGAATACGCGGGTTTGGGATGCAAATTTTCAAATTTATCGGCTTATGGGTCTGTGGCCCAATCAGTAGAAAATGGGCAGCTTGGTTCTCCATCTATAAAAATTATTCCAGTAGGGCCAGTTGTTAAGTTGGATAAATTTGGGAAAATGGACCATAAGCAGTTTCTGGTTGAATCTGCCTACACAGAGGAAGATAAAAATGGAGGTCTGCCACACTCTTGTTTGACTAAGCTTAATGGAGGAATGGAACCAGAATCAGAGTTAAAGTTGATTGACTCTAATTTATATTCTGGAAAAAGGATTTCAAGGGGAAAAACGTTTGATCGATCCAACTCAGCATTGACTACAAAGAGTGAGCCGTTGGAAAAGAGAAGAACTGCTAGTTACAAAAGGGTTTATAAGAGATCCAGGGAGAGAAGATTTTGGTTCGATAATGACGAAATTATAATTCCTCGTGAAGTGGAATCTCTAGAAAGGTTCAATGGGAAGATTTTGTATCCTAATTCAGCTTTGCCAGTCAGTGCAGTTGCAGAAGCTAATTTGGCAGGCTGTATGGAGTCTACTTTGGAGAGGCAAGTTGTTGACAACAACTTGGATCATTCATGTGAAGGGTGGTACTCAGAAGGAGATAGTCATATTTTCAACTCTAAGTCCTTTAATAGAAGAGCCAGAAGATTGTTGACAAGGGATGCATTGGATCAAGTTAGCATTGAAACAGTTTCTTCTTCAGCTTTTGCTGTTCTTTTAGATGAAGCAATAGCTACGTGGGAAATCAGTAATATACTGGGCGTGTCTTTCAAGGATGGGAAATCAACTTTTTTTGGAGAAAATTATAAAGTTGGAGGAAGATTTGAGGCTAGTCTGATTTTCTATGTTCTTGGGTTTTCTGGTATTTTTTTGATTTATGATGAAAATTCAGTTAGCCATTATTACATGGAACGTTAGGGGATTGGGAAGAAAGGAAAAACATAGAGCTGTTCAAAATATAGTTTTAAAGAAACGTCCTATACTTCTTCTGTTGCAAGAAACAAAATTGGAGAAGGTTCAGAGATAATTTCTCAGGAGGAGTGGTTTGAATACTCTTCAAGGGTTTGCAGAATCTCCAGCAGTGGGTTCTTTTGGAGGGTTATTGAGTTGTTGGGATGAGTCCACTTTTGAAGTGGATAATCTTATTATAAACAGAAGGTTTATTGCAGTTTTCGGGAAATTTCGAACTTCAAAATTTAGGTGTGGTTTTATTAATGTTTATGGGCCTAGTGTTGAAGAAGAAAAAGCTAGTTTCTTTGAAGAGTTAGCTGTTTTTATATGTGGTCAGAATATTCCTTTATGTGTGGGAGGTGATTTTAATATGCATCTTTCAGAAGAAGAAAAGGTGGGGAGAGCTACAAACAGAAGTTCTATAAGGATTTTCAGTCACTTTCTTCAACAAACAGGTTTAATCGATTTACCTTTACATGGGGGCAGATTCACTTGGTGTAACAACCAGGATTTTCCCACCTTTGTTAGACTGGACAGGTTCCTAGTGGATGTTCACTTCCTAGAAGCATTTCCTGATGTTACGCAATATTTGTTACCAAGGTCAGTGTCATATCACAATGCCATTTTTCTTGAGAATGAGGGGGTTAGTTGGGGTAAGAAACCTTTCAGACTATTTAATTATTTGATGGAGGAGGAAGGCTTTCAGAATTTAGTTGATTCTACTGTTAAAGAATGTAAGACTGAACAGAGGAGAGAAGGAATCCTATCTATCCTGAAAACTACTAAACTGGCGATCAAAAATTGGGCGGGAAAGAGAGACAAATTTCCTTCTGTACAGATTGCTGAATTAGAAAAAAAGATTCAATTGGAAGAGGAAAAGTTACAGCAGCTACAAGTTTCAAATGGAGCAGAATTGATTTCTATGAGGTCAAAATTATGGAGGCGGTACAAGATTGAAGAACATATATGGTTTCAAAAATCGAGATCAAGATGGGTGGATGAAGGGGACCGCAATACAAGATTTTTTCACACTTGTGCTTCGATCAGGAGGAAAAGGAATTTCATGAGTGCTTTGCATGTCAATGGAGAGATGACTCAAGATCTATAAGTCATCAAAGATAGTGTTAATGATCATTTTTTTGGAATTTATAACTCAAGTTCTACCTTGGAAGTGGAAGATATGAAGTTGAATTTTTCCAAAATTTTAGTGGAGCAAAGTGATATTCTGGAAAAAGAATTTACGGAGGAAGAAATTTGGGAGACTCTACAATCGTGTGATAGCAACAAAGCTCCCGGGCTGGATAGTTTTAATATGGGCTTTTTCAAGAGATTTTGGTCTGTTCTTAAGGTCGATATTTTGAAATTCTTTCATATCTTTTATTTGGGGAAAGATTGGGAACATGGAGTAAATCATACTTTCATTACTCTTATTCCCAAGGTGGCTAATATTGGTGGATTAGATGATTATAGACCTATAAGCCTTGTAGGAGGATTGTACAAGATATTTTCTAAATGTTTATCGAGGAGATTAAGGAATTGCATTTCTGATTTAATAAGTCCTACACAGTTTGCTTTCATTCCAGGTCGTCAAATTCTAGATTGTTCCCTAATAGCTAATGAGGGGGTTGATTTTTGGAGGAAAAAGGGATTTAAAGGATGTGTGTTTAAAGTTGATTTTAGGAAGGCTTATGATACTGTGGACTGGTCTATTTTGTTTAAGATTATGGAGAAAATGGGATTTGTCTTCAAATGGAGGAGTTGGATAAAACAATGTGTAACAACAGCTTCAATTTCAGTTTTGATAAATGGGGTCTATTCTCAGGAATTTCCTAGGGCAAGGGGTCTCCGTCAGGGCTGTTCTTTATCTCCTTTGCTTTTTAACTTAGTTGGGGAGCTCCTAAATTTACTGCTTCTAAAGGCAGTCTCTGAAGGTCTGTTTTGTGGACTGCAGATTAGGAGGAATGGGTCTGTTTTCAATTTATCTCATCTGCAATTTGCAGATGACTTAATCATTTTCTGTGGGGCCTCGAAAATGGAGATTTCAAATGTTAAAAGGGTCTTAAGAGTGTTTGAAGTTATGTCTGGTCTGCAATTGAATCTCAAGAAAAGCAAGTTATTTGGAGTAAATACTGTTACATATGAGGTTGAGGAGTGGGCGACGGCAATTGGTTGTGCAGTGGGGAAATTTCCTTCTGACTATCTAGGTCTGCCTCTTGGTGCAACACGGAATTCAACCTCTCTTTGGGATCCGATTGTATTAAATTTTAACAACAAACTAGCAGGTTGGAAAGCTGACACTCTTTCTTTGGCAGGGAGGTTAGTCTTGATTAAATCGGTTCTCTGTTCTCTTCCTACTTACTATTTGTCTCTATTCAAAATTCCCTCGTACGTAAATTCCAAACTCAACTCAATCATGTCTAAGTTCTTATGGGAGGTGGAACGGAGAAAATAAGATTCATTGGGTTAGTTGGCATAACGTGTGTAAATCTAAGGAGGCTGGTGGTTTAGGAGTGCTTAATATTAGTAACATGAACAGAGCATTACTAGGGAAGTGGTCTTGGAGATTTGCTAATGATAAGGATGCTGTTTGGAGGAGGCTGATATGTTCTAAATATAATATTGATCCTTTTTCATTATTGTTCAATAGCAAAATCCCAGCTCAAGCTTCTTGGATTTGGAGTTCAGTGGTGAATGCTTATTTTAAAGAAGACTCGTTTGGCTCTAATTTTCGCAGCATGTGCAGAGTTCAAGTTGGGAATGGTCAATTTATTCGGTTTTGGCAGGATAAATGGGTAATGGACTGTCCTCTTAAGGTCTCTTTTCCGAGGTTGTTTGCAATTTCTTCAAACCAGAGTGGAAAACTGATTGAATTTGGCGAGTTCAGTTCTTTGGGATGGATTTGGAATATTCAGTTGAGGAGAAGTTTGGTAGACTGGGAATTTGAACAGTGGGCTAACTTGATGTCTATCATTTCTAATTTCTTTCTGTTTAAAGAGGCAATCGACGGTCTGATATGGAAAGGAAACGGAACAAGTGTTTATTCTGTAAACTCATGTATGAAGACTTGTTCCTTGGCTCAAAAGGAGGATTCTTTTTGGAAGAATATTGTGTGGAAAGGTTTGGTGCCACCAAGAGTTGAGTTATTTATGTGGCAGGTAGTTCTTCAAAAACTGCCAGTGAGGTCTGAACTGGCTAAGAGAGGGGTTACGGGAATTGTAGAACTTTCTTGTCCTTTATGTAATTTGGTGGATGAATCTTCTGCTCATTTATTTTTCTCTTGTTCTGTCGTGTGGTCACTTTGGAACAAATTTGTGCAGTATTGGAGTCTTAATGTGGTTCTTCAAGAAGAGAATGTGCAGAAGTTCCTCCAAGCTTGGGAAGATCTAAATCCTAGGTCTGCTATTTGGAAGTTTATTCCTGCCGTTGTCATTTGGACTGTTTGGAAAGCTAGAAATGATATTGTATTCGATAGAGGGAAGATTGACCAACCTAACCTGTTTTTCTTAGCAAGAGTACGGCTTGCATCTTGGTTTTTAGTTAAGTTTGCAGATTCTGTTATTTCTATGGATTCTCTAATCGGTGACCCTTCCCTAGGGGATTCATGTTTCCCGCTCAACAAATCGATTGTTTCTACAATTCCTTGGTCCCCCCTCCTAAGGGCTTTGTAAAATTGAATGTGGATGCAGCTACAAGTTGTGATTGGAAGAGCACATAGTTGCGGGTATTCTAAGAGATGAGGAAGGTCTTCTTGTAGGATCTTTTAAGGAGGCTACTGGTTCGGGTCCACCTATTTTGATGGAGTTAAAGGCTATTCAGAAGGGCTTACTTTTCTTTAATTCAGTGAGAGGAGATGTTAATGGTCGGTTGATATTAGAATCAGACTGTAAATTGGCAGTTGATTGGATTAGGACTGGAACTTTGTGTCCTCATTTTTTTGTCTTCATTGTCAGGGATATAGCAGTTAATCTTAAAGATGTTGAGGGTGTTATTATATGGGTCGTTAGAACAGCCAATATAGAGGCTGATGGGTTGGCTAAATCTACCATTGGATAATTTCAGTATGTTTTAGGGGCATTTTATTTTGGGTTTTTAGGAGTTTTTGTAAGGGACTTATCTTCATGTTGTAATCTTATGTATTTCATTAATGAAGTATAAGGCACTCTTTTCCTCCTTCCTCTAATGAAGGAACTTTCTGAGTTCCTTAATCAAGAAGGGGTTTTTTAACGAGGCCTTCAATTCCTATAAAAAAAAATAATGATGTGACAGATTGGATTAATATTTGCCAGCAAATGTTAATGGCCCAAAGCCAGTTGTGGTATTTTGTGACAGGTGGAGCCTGGATAATTGGGTGAGTGACATGATATTTCACCATGGCGTATCAGTTACTTTTTAATGTACGAATGTGGATTAAATATGAAATACATAATATAGCCTTAAAATTCCTTAATATTTCATAGGGGGTTCTGCATCAGGGTGTCTATTCTTGTAGTTGTATGTTCATGTGGGCTGTGCTAAGGAATTAGATAAACATAGATTGAAATGTATTCTATGATTTCTCTATAAACCCAAATAGAATTTAAGGTTTAAATTGCTCATTCATTGGATTTGAACGATCAGTGTATCAACTGCTTTCATATCTAGCTGACCATTAAATATTTATTGGAAGTATATATCCTCATTCATTTTTTTATGTAAAGTTTCTGAACTCTTCTTTTGTTTTAGGTACAAGGCTTGGGGATCACTTCTAGGACTGCAATTGGCGGAAAGAGATATCATTGTAGCATGTATTGATTACAGGTATTAGTTTGGTTGATGCAATGACCTGATGTTCTGTTCATTTTTGCTAACAATGCCACATGCGTGTGAAATATTCTAAGGGTCAAATAAGTACTTGTAACTTCATTAATGAAATACCATATATAAGGAATGTTTTTGGCTCTATGATCCATACAATTTGCCCTCATGTTAATAACTGGCTCACATATTGTCATAAAATTTTATTATATTTATGAGGCCCGTCTCTTTTCTTGGTCCTCCACTTTTAATGGAACTAAATGCCATTAAATCAGGCGTAATCTTTTTTGAATCATCTAGCTGGTATTCTAAGGGGCAATCTCATGGTTTTTGAAGACGCTGATGATAAGTTAGAGACGCTTGCAGAATGGTTTTCCAGAGTGGAAACTTGGTCAGAGAGCCTAGTGGTGGAGTGCCGGCGCGTGTGGTTAATTTGCGAAGGTATCCCATTTCACGCTTGATATTGGGATACTTTCAAAAATATTGCAACTAAGTGGGGCAAGTTAATAGCAATTGACAACAATTGTGAGTTTCCATCGTCTTTTGATCGGGCTAAAATTCAAATACTCACAAATGCTCAAGGAGAATTGATGAGTTGTTAGAGTTGAAGGTCGGTGATAATTTATTCAATGTCTTGGTGCATGAAGTTGATCCTTCCTTCAAACCTAATTCTTGGGTCCCTGAAGATTGTGATATTTCATTAGAACTTGTTCCTCCTATTGGATCGTGATTGTTCGGCAGCTGTATTCAGAGGTGTTTTTTAGTTTGGGGTTGTAATTGTTGGTTTTTATTTTGTTATGTTATCTTACATCTTGAGGTGTATTTTAGAAATAAGGTTATTGTCTTAGGGGCTTTTTGTTTGAAGATGTAAGATTTCTAGGTGATATGGTTTGTAATGGTGTATATTCCCATATGAGGGATTGGTGTTACCACATGTACTTGGTCTATTATTTAATAAAATACGAGGCACTCTTTTCTTCCTTCTTATGTTCTTCAACATACTTCTAAGTATGTGGAAGAATACGAAGGGAGATTTTAATGAGACCTCCAACTTCTATAAAAAAAAAAATTATTGAGAGTGATAGTAAGAAGTGTGTGGAGTGGGTTAAGAACTTGGATAAATGTCCAAGTATGTATGTTTCTATTTCTAAAGAAATAGCGGATAAGATTAGGATCATGGAGGGCATTTTCCGTTGGGTAGCTAGGCCAGCAAACATAGAAGTAGACGCTTTAGCTAAGGCAGGAATAGGTTAAGATAGGGTGTTTTGGTTGGGTTTTGTTTTTTTCTTGTCTCTTGTTTCATGCTTCGTGAACTGGGTTATTAGTATTGTTGTACTGATATGCTTTGTACTGTTTCTTTTTTATTAATAAAATTAGAGGCACTCTTTTCCTCCTTCTGCTGTTTAGTGGAATACCCTATGGTGTTCTAGAAATTATGAAGGGAGGTTTTAACGAGGCCTCCACTTCTTATCAAAAAAAAAAAAATGTTTGCAGGAACTTCCCCCAAGGAACCATTAGTGACATGGTGAAAGATGTGTCTCAAGGGTCTCATTTGTCTGCAATCTCATTGCCAGATATGGAGGTGATCCTAACAGGTGACTGACTGCTTTCTTTGATTTTGCATGCCTATCGTTTATCCATATTATCTCAATTTACACTTTTATGTTATTTTGAATAGAATCTATTTAATGGGGCAATCAGCCCGGGCACATATTTCTTGTGTTCTTTTGGAGCAAGCAATCAAAGAATCTAGAGGAGAAAGCACTACATGGAGTGCTTCCCAAATCAAAGCTTATTTTGGTTTATCTGGAGGGTAAACTTTTAACTGTTCTTTATTATGAGTCTTGCATAAGATATGTGGATATGCAGCGAGCTGTACTTACCAATGTTTTAGGCTTTATTAGTACATTTAAGCAACAAGATTAATGTTCCGCAAGGATATTTCTATAAGACTATCAAGTTTACTATGCTATATGAATTTTAAACCTTTTGTATGATGAAAATGTCCATATCCTAAAATTGAAGCAACATGCTACCTTGCTTCATTTCATATGTAGGGTGCATGACCGTCTCATTCAGTGGCGGATCTTGGTGGTATACTTTGAGGGGGACTAATCAAACTTTCTAAAATTTTTGGACGTCTAATCAAAATTTTGAGGGACTTAGTAAGATTTTTTTTAAAAATGTGAGGGTCTAATTGGAATTTTCAAAAAAATTGGGAGCCTTTAAGGGTATAAAGCAAATTTTCCAAAACTTTGGGGGTGCCAAGGCTCCCTCTGGCCCTTGGTACCATCCACCCCTGGTATCATTGAAATGGTTATAGAACATAAATGCTTAAGATCCGGCTGAAGACACTTAGCTATGTACATATTTTTTTGTGAAACATATTGTCAACTTTTTTTTTGTTGTTGGTTGTTTCTAAGTTCAAGATTTGTACAGAAAGCTCTCCTTAATTTTCATGTGTTTTTTAACTCTAGAACTTTATCTTTTGGATCATAGTTTTCACCCTTTCTGATTTTCCTAGATGTTATCTTGTAAGGCTGCATCACGCAAAGGGAATTAGTCATGTAGAGAGTATTTGGTTACGTTTTTATCCTGCTTTTTAATTTTAAAAAACTATTTCCCTTGCCATTTTGCTTTTGTTGTGTTATTTTTGAAAACATTTATGTGAGCGTGAAAGAAATTTACCTTAGTTACCACACGGTAATGTTTGCCTTCTAAAAGAGACAAATATCAATTGAAGTTAGTTAACTAGAATTTAGCTCCGCTCCTTCATTTGGTTGTTAATTTATAAAATTATGGTGAAAATATTTTATCTTCCAGTTGCTGTGAGCATTTTCTACTGAAGAACTAGCAACTAAATTACTATCAATCTCTCTTTTTGGCTGGTGGGAACTGACTCTAGAATGTGAAGACTTTCTTGAAATGCGAATATATACGCACATGAGCTAGCTGCTTAAAGTGATAGGCCTTTCTCTATATCTTTTATGGAATATGTTAATCTGCTGTCGATTGGTAGTTGTACAAAGCATGGTCTTATTCGTCAGTTCAATTGTATAAACAGATTGACAGTTGTATCCAGATACGTGCTTATTTCCTATTAAATTGTGAATAGGTACAATTTATTCAATTTGGTTGATCATTTCTACAATAGAGGCCTTTATCGTTCCGTCTTTTTAAGTTATTTTGCCTATATTATTTTTCTGGGAACAAATCTATACGTACTTGTCTTTTTCCTTTTTATTATCCCATGTACCATTTATTAACCAACTGAAGTTCTGTTTCAATGTTACAGCATCATGGAAGGGGAAGAATCCTTTGAACAATTTTCCCCTGAAGTTAGAATAAAAGATCCACGCAATAGAGAAACCGGCTCTCTTCTTCCCCCTATTAAACTTTTCCATGGAACTTCAGATTTATCAATACCATCAGATGCCAGGTTAGAAATACCTGTTGGTCTAAATGCCAACTGTTTAATATCTTTGTTTACTTTCAAACTGCTATTTAATCACATTGCTATATTTTTATTCTGGAATCGTTGATGTATCATGAAATAATGATTGAAATTGGAGAAGATTCAAGCTTAGTAATGATGCATGGTGATGAGGAGATATCATACTGCTGCAGTGGATTTACTGCAAATTTTCCCAGAAACTGCTATTCCTGATATTGACGTTATCTGTGCAGTATAACCTTTTAGAAGCCGTTAGAGGGGTAGGGGCTGAGACAGAAGTGATTCTATATGAAGGAAAATCCCATACCGATCTATTTTTACAGGTTAGTGGTTATTACTAGCTTTGTAATGTCATTTTAGGCTTAATATACTTGTTTCGCTGCATTCTGATCATCGGATGGTAATTTTGTGTTATATAACTAAATGAATACAAAAAATTCACATTTCTTATCCATTAATTTAATATGCCTTACGTTACGTGAGGTCCTTGTAATCTACATATAAACTGTGATGACAACGCTGAACATGAGGTTTAGTTTAACAGGGAAATGAAATCATCTACCCCAAATCTTTGTGATTGTGAATTTAGCTCAAACTGCTTGAAGCTTTACTGGGAAGCAGCAAAGTAAATGGCAGTTATTGTAATAGTATTAACAACGAGCATATATTGTTTGAGCACTACTGCAGTTTTTTTTTCAGTGATGTATTTGAAGGTTACCCGGTTTTCAATTCCTCAAGCAACTATACTTGCGACAAAAAGATATCGATATGGCATCTATAAACTGTTATTCCCGCCCCTAAAATTGAGTACTATCATGCAGGATCCGTTAAGAGGTGGAAAGGACGATCTATTTGATCATATGGTTTCTGTGATACATGCGGGTGATGAGGAAGCTCTCGCCAAGGATGCGTTGGCACCTCCCACCTCCTAGAAGACACCTTGTACATGAGTTTTTGTTAAGGTTGGCTCGTCACATCAGCCCCTTCTAACCTTCTCAATGTTTGATCATTAACAGATTTAAGCTAATGCGTTTGGTGTCATTTTTAAAATCACCAGTGATTTTATTTTTAGGGTGATGATCTTAATCACTTGTGGTTTGGAAATATTTTTGTTTTTTTTATTAATAATCATTGATTATTGGGGGTGTAAAAATCACAGCGTTTTGTGTTATTAAAAATTATATATTATTTCCTTTGAAAGTACAGAAATAGGCACGCATGTTGTAATACTTGCATAATGAAATATTAGTATTATTTTATTTACTCTATAATGAAGTATTTGGTTTATCATGTATTATATGTTTAGTTTATTAAGATACGTTTTAATATATGGAAGCATCCTAGAACATCTACCGTCAAGCCTACAATCTTCTTGATCATCTTCATATCAATCACTATAAACTTCACGTGACATACAAACAACACATGCATTGAATTTAAATACAACCATTGTAAAGACAGCTCAATTAATGATTCTTCAAACCATATCTGTTCACGTTTTGCATCTTAAATTATTATTCTAATATAGGTTTTGGTCCCTCGGGAAACAAACATAAAAAGTAAAATCTCAAAATCATCGATGAACAGGTTTGTCCTTTTATTTTTAACTACTCGCCCCTCAAACTATGTACTTTTTCTCAGTTTGCACCTCAAAGAAATTGTGTTTTCTCATTTCACCCTAAACATTTTCCAATTTTACAACAACGACATCTCTTTCCTTAAAAACATATTATTTCAGGTTACGCTGTGAATAAGTAATTCAGATGTATGAACTAAGATTTGAACGGTAGAAAAAGAGTATTTTCATTCTTTCTTTCAATTCGTCAAGGTTTGAAACAAAGAGAGAGAGAGAAGCGAGAGACATTTAGTTTTTATTTTATTTTATTTATTTATTTAACCAATATCAATCAAACTTGCTTATTTCATTAAAAAAAGTTATAAATATGTATATGGTTAAATTGTGCAGCCTTTTATACCATCGAAAACCCACACTTAATTGAAGGATATTAAACGTTTAAATATGTTTAATTGTACATTTTTACATGTCATATGAAAATGATGTCAATAAATCTAAACTTAATCAACATGACAACGATGTTAGTAAATCTAAATTCAATCAAAAATTATATAAATGTTCAAATGTTGATTTAACATTCAAATCTCAGCAAAAAAAAAATCTTAATAAATGAATCTAGAAAAATAAATGATATTAAATGATAATATAAATACTTAGTTGAAACTTGAATTTTTATTTTTTTAACTTTTTTTATTAAGCAAGATAATTGCAAAATAATATTTGTTCTAAATACTCTCAATCATTTGACAATAAACAATCAATCACCTTGCTACAATAGCATGTGCTCGAACCCGTGACCTCTAGTAATAACAACGAATCTTTTAACCAATGAGGTAAGTTGATTCGTGCAACTTAAATTTTTATTCTAAAATAATAAAAACCATTGATCATGATAATTTTCGTAGTAAATGGTAATATTAGTTGTTTTGAGTTTTAGTAGAAAATACAAATAATTTCACATTAATTTTCCGGTAACGATGAAGGGGAAATTAATTGTTTTCAGGGAACTAATATGTAAAATTAAGATCTATTGCTAGAAAATTAGCAATATGATTCAATTAATGTTTGAAATATAATAAATACCTGTAAGTGGTGAATTGAGAAAAGAAATCATTTTACAGTGTAAAATGATATATATATATATAACACTTTTTTAGGAAAATGCTAATATAATAAAGGTACATGACAATCGATTTTTTTTTCTTTCATCGTTCTTTTATTGAGGAACCAAAACGTATAAGGAAAAAAATGCTTTAAGAAGTGAATCGAGAATTAAAAAAAAATACTTTTAAGGACATTTCATTCACATAAAGGATTATTATTTTATTAAAAGAAATAATTTTTTCATAATTGTATTTTCATGTTAGGTTCACGGAAGAAATTATTATTAAAGAGTTTTTTTTTCTTTCAATAGTAGTCTTTTTAGTTAAAATAATAAAAATCTCATTACCTCCAAATTCTTAGTATTATACAATTCCTACAATTTTGGACAAGATTATCCATAGACTAATGAATTCTTTTTGTAAGGATCATTTTTAATAGTTATTTTTTTTCTTTACTCAATATTATAAACATAATAACAATATAATAATAACAATATAAAAAAGAGTTTGATTTAGTAAAATATTAATAAATTTGAGTACTTAAGATTATATTTTTAATATTCAATATATTTATTATTGTAACTTTATGAGGTGAAAAATAATATTATTGTAAAAATAATATTATTTAAAATAATATTTAACTTTGAATTATTAAAAATAGATCTTATACATTGAAAAATAATATCTTTATCTACTCGAGATCATAATATTATTTTTCATATTATATTATATTTTATATAAATAAATATGATACTTATAAAAATTATTTAAAAATATAAGTTTAATATATTAATTATATTAAATATAACGATTAAAATATTTATATGAATTTTTATTCATATATTTATAATTTAATATTAAAGTTTAAGTTTTTGAAAAAAAAACATATATCAAAGAAAATTTAGTAAAATATGTATTCAAGTAATATTATATTCCTCTAACCAAATGCCGTAATCTTACATTTTTGCTAAATAAACCAAACAAGGTAATACAATGTTCCCTTTAGTAATGTTGCATTCCAACAATATTATTCCCAAAGATAATCTTATATTCTGTGAACCAAAAGCATCCTAAGGGTTGAATGGGGAAAAAATAAAGGGCTGACAAAATGTTATGTCCACTTTTCCTTGTTGATTTTAAAAAAATAATATATAGTTACTTTCGTTTTTATTTAATCAAGTTGTGGTCATCACGAGTTAATTGTCGTAAATATTTTGGTATAATAACATATTTGGTCTCTATTATTTACATATTTTTTTCAATTTAGTCATACTTTTAATAATTTTAAATAAATTAATCATCCAATCGACTGATGTCATGTGTGACTAGTATAATGTGTTGTGCCACATATCACCATTCGATTGGAGAACTAACTTTATTTTAATTTAATATATTTATTATTAACTTAATTTAATATATTTATTATTAACTTAATTTAAAAATATATATTTTTATTAATTTAAAAATATATATTTTATGTTAAAATATTTTGAAGTTAGTCGTCTAACCGAATGGTGACACATGACACCAGTGACATGTGACATCATTTGATCGGGTGATTAAATTTATTAAAAGTAGAACTAACATATACCAAATGTGTGATTATACTAAAATATTACGTCACCTAATTTATTAACTGTTAACAACAGTTAACTTGTAGTGATCACATCTAACTAAATAAAAACTAAAATGACTTGAAATATATTTCTTAAGTCATTGAGAAAAAATAGATAAAACATAATAATAATAATAATAATAATAATAATAATAATAATAATAATAATAATAATAATAATAATAATAATGTAGTTAACCAAGAAAATAAATTATAGTGCAACGTGAGAAAAAGTGTACAACTCGAGAGAAAATCATTAATTAAGCAAGCCTAAAAAATTAAGATTAAGATTATAATGATCATAAAAAATCACAATTTCCCAACAACCAAATCAGAAAATATTAGTATTTATATTCTACTTATCGGTGATATGGTCAACTTCAAGCTTCAATTCTTGGATCTTCTTTCATCATTCTTCAACTTACAGCCAGAAATTACACAACAACTATGGCAGTGAAAACGAATGGTGCGACTGTTGAAAATAACTTCATCCACAAAGAGGAATTGCTCCAGGATGCCCTCCGCAGTTTGTTTTCGTCGATCATCTACCCCAAAGCATCGGCGCCTACTCCGCTGCTGCAGCGGATCAAGATCTCTGTTTCGGAGAACTTGCCTCGCCTTGTCGAAGCCTCTAGAAACACCAGCCGTTCTGTTCTGCAGTGGACCCGCAGTGGCAGCCCCCTTCGTGCTCTTCTCGTCATTTCTGTGAGTTTTTCCCGCTAATTGCTTTGTTAAACGATTTCTTTCCGTCCTTCTGCTTCAGAATTGATAATCATTAAAAAGTAACGCATTCCCGATCATCTATTTGATTGACCAAAATAATGCTAAGCATTGATTTCTTCCAGTGCTTTAGTTCTTATGCTTGAGGCTTGAAGTGGTGGGGGTATATTGTTTCCAACGATTGACTATATACACAGAGAAACACACACATGTATTTATATTTCCCTTGAATAAGAAAAAAATAAAGTTAACTCATAATAGAATAAGTGTGAGAGTAGTTCTACAGTCGCATAGTTAAAATGCAAGATCCTATAAATGAAATGTTTAATGTAGGATAATGGTTAAAGCTGAATGCCCAAAATGGACCTTGGCAGTTGAAATGGATGATGTATAAACAATTAATAGGTTGAATCTCAGTTAGTGCTTGAAAGTTCAATGGTATAAAATTTCTCTACTGGTTTCTTCCTCGTAGATCAAACTTTTGGATGCTTACACTAAAACATAATTCTACTTACATGCTGCGAAATTTGTTCTTTATAAATTGGATATAGTAACACATACTTCCCCACCGAGTATCTTGTCCGAAGAAGCTTTTCATTTGCTTGATTTTTACTAATGGACTTGGAAAACTTAAAATCATAATGTTTTTGCATGTTTTTTTTATAGCTGACTTGTATATTCTGGTATGATTTTCAAATTGCTTTTGTGCCATTTGTTCTTTATAATTTGTCTATGTATTCCCTTCCAACTTCTTTGTGTGTCTCTTATACACCGAGCTGCTCTTCTTTCTTGAAGATTAAATTGATATCTAGTTATGATAAATAAGTGAAATTTATTTTCATGGGATATATTGGTCTGCAGTCTGCTAGCTGCTTTAGCCTTAATTTACATTCTTTAGAATCCTCTGACCGTCCTTTCACCAACACTTCTGCAGGTTGGAACCATTACTTTTCTTACCTTGGCTGGATTGCTTCTTTTTACGCTTTTCTTTCTAGCTGCTACTGTCAATGCTATCATCATCTCTTCCCTCATCGCTTTGGCTGCTGCAGGAGTCTTCTTCGCTATTTTTTTTGCTTGTGTAACAGTTATTTACATTGTGGCCTTGTCAGTTGCTGCTTTTGTTATTTCTACTGCAACAATTTCAGCAATGATAGCTGCTGTTGTCGTTACAGGTATATCTTTCTCAGCATCTAGTTTTAGATTTTACTTTGTTTCATTCTTATAATGTTCAGATTATATGCTTGGCTTAGAAAATACGAGATGAAGTCTTTTCATTTATATCTTTTTATAGGGTTGAACCCCTTTATATTTTTTTCTGGAACCTCTTCCCTAAATGAATTTCAGCCCTATGAAGTTGCTGTGGGTTATTCTAGATGATAACCCAAATGATACAGTATGTTGGCATAAAATCATTGCCATTATTTTCTCCTTGAAGTGTATTCACGTGGTGTCCTTCAGTGTCCCAGACACAAAACTTAGTAGAAAAGAAATATGATGGAAAAATAGTATGTGCAAAATTGGAAAACACAAACTACTGCCTATAAATGGGAGATTTGAATTAGATTTTTTACTCTGCACCTTCTATCATTATCATGATTCATGAGTATGTTCACTCTCTCTCATGCTGTGACCAGTATTCCTTTTACTGTCCAAGTTTGCTGAATGGTGTCAATGAGCAAGTTTTTGTGAGTTAGTTTGCATGCCCTCGTACACATTGGTTGCTGTATTTTTCCTCTTTTGACATTTCAAATTAAAGCTATTCTGGTGTTTTGTACCCTCAAAATTGGAATGATTGGATCAGATATTTCAATGCCAAAGTTGATATCTATTTAGTGTATCTGCAATGTTTTCTGCGGCTTTTGCTAAAGTTGCTGTCTTTTTTGTGTCACGGTTTGCAATTTTTATGCTACTTGGGTAATTACAAGTAATTATGGTGTTTCATTTCCTAATTGCAATCTCAAACTGTCTGGACCTGAAGCTTGAAATTCTCCAGAAAGAAAATCGTTTCAGGCTTTTGACTAGGCAACTTAATTTTCTGGAGTAGTGCTTTTCATTAGATGTTTCAAATATGAATCAGGCTGGATTGGATTCTTTTGGGCTGTATGGTTGGGTACTAAGAAAAGCATGGAGCTGGCAAAGCACTCGTTCAGCATGACTGGATCTGCTCTTTCAGCTTGGGAGCCGAACAAAGTTTCAGACTGAAACGCTTTGGTGAACGTAAGACCCCAACTCCACGCACTGATTCAGTGTGTATATGTTGGCAGATGACGTTGATTAATCATAGATGGGAAGCACGTGAATGTGTTTTTAGTTTTGACAATTTAGCAATAATATAGTCGGCTTGCTACCGGCTTGCAATGGTTAGGATGTTTGATTTTCCGGTTTACTTGTTTAACTTTAGTTGGCCTGTCTTGGGGTAAACAGAACTTTAGTTAGCCTGTCTTGGGGTAAACAGAACTTTGGTGTCAAAAGTATCTGTCCGTGTTTGGAGTTCATTCCTTTAGGGATGAATGGTGTTGTATTGATGTTCCTCTAGAATTTAAATGGACGGATGATTAGGTTTTAGCCATGAACTGGATAGAATTTTATGTGATCGCTGTTTCTTTATTAGTGTTATTCTTAGATTTTGCCACTATATGAATGATTCCGTATTTAGTTCTTTAATAGTGTTTTAATTATTTATTTAAAAATAAAATATGAAAAACTGAGTTAGGGTTAAAATTAATTTGTTACACCAATTTTAACGGTCATTTTACATTGCTCACTTTACACGAATAAAAGCTAATAAAGTTGTTCTTCTAAACTTGAGCAAAAATGTCAAATCAATGATACAGTGTTAATTTGAATGTAACAGTTAATTAGGCTAACTATTATCTTAATATTTGCAAAAGAAAAATAAATTCTACCTAACAACAAAATAAAAGAAATTACGGAGCATGAATCAAGTTATTTCAGTTGTTAAATGGATAAATATTATTTTTTAGAGATCTCGATTTGGAACATGATGTTGTAGGGGTGTACAAGTGATCATTATAAAATGATTGAGTTTTTCCAACAAATATTATATTGTAATGATTCTAGACTAATAAAGAAGAAAAAAAGAAATATCGGAACTGGCTATTACATGCGGGGAATTCATCATTTCTAACTGGAACTTTTAATGCTTCCTGTTGACCGTTTCTTGGAAGTGCTATTATTGTTTTGTAATCTATGGCATCGACGCAATGTGTTCATCCAATCAGGCATTCGTTATAGTGTCGAATTAACATCGCATCCCCCTACGTCGACCCCTTTCACTGTGCAGCGTTGGACATTGGAACTATTAAAATCAATGTGGATACGGCTTGTCTCTACTTCTGGTATACCGGCTATTGTGATTGTAGCGAGGTTCCAAGTGATGTGGGGTACTCGATCTCATGCTATATGCTTTGAGGTACAGTTTGCTCGAGTTTCTGTCAGCTCAAATCGTAATTGAGAGTGGCTCAGCCAATGTTCTTCGGCAACTCAACGACCCTGACGTTGATCTTTCAGTGTTGCGATTCAGGGACTTTTAGATTAGCATCCGACCATTCGGACTAAGCACATAAGACGATCTGCAAATGGTGCGGTAAATGCTTTAGCCCGATATGCCTCGACAATGTCAACTTCCTTAAAGTTTGTTTAAGATTATCCTTCTAGTATTCGCGTCATTGTAATATCAGATGCTATTTATGGTTAATGACTACTGGATTATCTTGAAAGAAATGATCAACATTTTTAAAAAAGAAATGGAAGTTATATCAGATTCAATTGTTGTAGTGAATGATAAATTAATTGCCATGGGAGAAAGGTAGAAAGAATGTGTCTAAATTCCGAACAACTACTGGTTGGGCTGTCAATTTCGTTGGTTCGGCTAGTCATGGAAGGTGCCGATTGTAGAGTGCTTCCCACTCTTGACTCTACCTTTACTAGACTCTAATTACAAAACACTAAATAATTCTCTGTCTCTATATAATACATTAAAATCAGTTTCATTTTGGTGCTTAAAATCAGAAAGAATGTGTTTGGTAGCCATGGCCATTGTCACCCTATGCGGCCTAGCCAATGTCAGATTAAGTTCCTCCGATGATCGTTACAAAGCCGGAGATGATGTTCCTCTTTATGCTAATAAAGTAGGCCCCTACCACAATCCCAGGTATTCTTCCCTTTTTCTCTTCCATCTCAATTTTCTCGTTTAACATTTTTCTTTGATTTTGCTTTGGTTCACAGTGAAACGCAACGTTACTTCGATTCTCCATTCTGTTCCTCAGGTTTGATCTTATTTCATGTCTGTTTCTATTCTGTCATTCTTACTTTTTTTATTTGAGGGTTTAAATCGAGTAATTTGATTGTTTGCTTTACACTTCAACATCCTTGAAGGAGAAGAATGAAGCTTTGGGTGAAGTCTTGAATGGCGGTAGCCTAGTAAGTGCCCCTTACAGACTCGAGGTTTTGATCGAGAAAGGGGCTGAATTGCCTGCAAAAAGAAGCTTACTAAAAAAGAAGTCGCCAAGTTCCGAACCGCCGTCTCGAAAGACTATTACTTCCAAATGTACTATGACGATCTTCCCATTTGGGGTTTCTTAGGGAAAGTTGATAAGGAAGGAAAGGTCAATCCATCTGACTATAGATATTACCTCTTTAAGCATCTCGTTTTCGAGATCCATCACAACAAAGATTGGGTCATTGAGGTCATTGTTCGATCTGATCCCAACGCCCTAGTGGACCTCACCAAAGATGAACCGGTTGATGTCGATTTCATGTACACCGTTCAATGGAAGAAAACAAACACTCCTTTTGAGAAGAGAATAAAAAAGTACTCGCTATCTTCTTCCTTGCCACACCATCTGGAAATCCACTGGTTCTCCGTTATCAGTTCATGTGTCACCGTTTTGTTGTTGACTGGCTTCCTGGCCACCATTCTTATGCGAGTCCTTAAGAACGATTTCATCAAGTACAATTCGTTTCCATTTGTTTTTTGTGCTTAAAAATCCGTATCTAACTCTTAAGTATACGAGGTTTTGTTTTTAAATTCATGAAGTCCTTAATAGGTATGCACATGATGACGAATCTGCGGATGACCAGGAGGAATCTGAGTAGAAGTATATCCATGGTGATGTCTTCAGGTACCCCATGCACAAGTCTTTGTTTGCAGCGGCTTTTGGTTGCGGCACCCAGCTCTTTACTCTGTGAGTATCATCCATCGAAGTTAATCGTCTCTTTGTTTCCGGGTAATCTGTTGACTGTTATTCATTTGCTTCATGTTCCATTACCATTACCATTTTCATTTTTATCCTTGCTCTAGTTGGGGTCTTTTATCCATATAACCGAGGAGCTCTTTTCACTGCTCTGGTAGTCATTTACGCCCTTACATCTGGTATTGCTGGATACACTACAGCTTCTTTCTACTATCAGCTAGAAGGAGAAAATTCGGTGTGTAATACTGATCTCTCTTATTGTTTCTTGTACAATAGAATGTATTGCTAAAATTTGAATTTTTTTTTATCAAAATTCTGATAACTGTTCCTACCATTTTTCATGACAGGTGAGAAACTTATTACTAACTGGAAGCTTGTTTTGTGGACCTCTTTTTGTCACATTCTGTTTTCTTAATACTATCGCAATTGCTTGTAAAGCCACGATAGAATATTCGTTTGAAACCATTGTGATGATTCTTCTCATATGAGCTCTGGTCACATCACCTTTATTAGTAGTAAGAGGTATTGCTGGGAAGAATATGAAGGAAGAGTTTCAAGCCCCTTGTCGAACAACAAAATATCCTAGAGATATCCCACCATTACCTTGGTACTGAAAAACCCTTCCCGGATAGCAATGGCAGGGTTCTTGCCATTCAGTGCTATATATATTGAACTTTACTACATATTTTCCAGTGTTTGGGGACATATGATCTACACCATATACAACATCTTGTTTATTGGAATGAGTCCATGAATCAATTTGCCCCCACCGGAGCAAAATGAACTGCTTTCATTGATAATCTTAGTAGATGAGTCATTAGGATTGCATTATGGGAGCTTTTCAATCACCATGGCAAGGTTACCAAGGTTTTCATCCCTCTCGTAAATAAGAGGCCAAGGAACAACGATGTCACTTTCGCTTTTGTTCATTTCGTGAGTCAAAAGTATTTACTAATTCCATTGATAAGGAAAATAATACTCTGGTCAACGGGAAAAGGTTACCGGTAAGGGTTGCAAAATACCAGAAGCCCCAGTTCCTGAGGAATTCGTCCGGTGAAGGAGTTGAAGGGCCCAAAAAACGGTCAGAGGAATCCCTTAGGAGTTTTGAAGATAGAGCAACTATGCTTAAGAAGTTCTATGATGGGAGATCATATAAGGATTCTTTGGTCTACAATAGGAGAAAACCAGAGGGCTCGTTGAGATGGAAGAAGAGTGGCTTAGGGGTAATAAGAAGCTCGTTAAATGTCTTCATTCCATCGTATGAGATGGAGTGGATTAAGTTGTCCCTGATAGGTATTTTAAAATCATCGTACAATATTGAGTTCATTCATATAACGATGATTTCAACGCAAAGGTGGCTAGCTGGGGTTATACTATGAACAAATGTATCATCACTTTCTCGTTCAAATAAGAAATAAGGGAGGCATTGAAAGAAAAAGTTGAAGTGTTAAATTTTTTGTTTGATTGGATGACCCATGTTTCCCCGGATGGGGGAGTGCCTACGGCCTTCTGCTCAGTTTCTTTAATTGGAATCCCTCTTAATTATTGGAGTGAAGTTTTCTTCTCTAGTTTGGCTTCAAGATGGGGGTCTCTAGTTAAGGTTCAGGAGGAGACTCTCCAGAAGGTAGATTTACGAGTAGCTAAGTTGCTAGTGAGGGTTGAGAGTCCTTTCGACATTCCCAGTTGTATTACTATTACTATGAATGGTAGATCATAATTGATAAAGATCACGGTCGATACGGTTGAGGATAGCTTCCCTGATTCAATCAAATAGTATATAGAGGAAGATTCTACTGACATCTGGGAGGAAGCTTCCTCATAAAGTAACCATATCAACGATCATATTGCTAGTTGGTTGGGAAGACCATCAGTCAGTTGGTTACCTAGGAAATGTCTGATTTTAATTCTACAGATGGTACGAGGCAAAATTCATTTATGGCTGACTCGAGAGTTGATTTGAATGATTTTGTGGGGGTCAATTGGGGTCCTAAGCCTTTTAAGTTGTCTAGTTACATGATGGAGAAAGAATGATTTAAAGAGATGATGGAGCTAGAATTTTCGGAGCTTCAAAAGGGAAGAAGGAGTAGGGTCCTAAAAGGTTTAAAGGTTGTTATCTAGAAATTTTTGATAATAGATGTAACATCCTCCATTCCGGGTTAGTGATTAAATTATGAGATTTAAAAATTCAATGACCAAATTGGATAAAATGAAAAGTTCAAAGAATTGATTGAAATGTTTGGTGTAGGATCAATTAGCAAAGAGGTGGAATTAAAGGGGAAAATGAGTCTTTTGAGAAGGAAAATAATTAAATTTTTAGTTGATGATATTTATAACCACGTGGAAGCTAG